TCATTTCCTCCAGTTCATCAGTAGAATATAAGGCAAGTTCATCAGTCAGGATGGGAGGGGAGGTACCCAATGTGTGCAGAGAAAGGAGAAAGGATGACATAGTTCTTCAGGAAAGTGAGAAAAGGAAAGGACCAGAGAAAAAAGTATGATCATCTGGCAGCATGAGAGAGCCAACTTGAACCCTGTGGTCATGAACTCTAAGTGAGAACAGTGAGCAAGTGTTTTCTCCAGCCATGTTCTACTGTGGAGATTTATCCAGCCTCTCAGGACAGTGACAAAAGGAGAGAGGGGCAAGCAAGCTGAGGGTATATGCTATGAGGCAACCATGTGGTCAGAACAATTGCCCTTGGAATTTAAGCTGGGTAAAGAAGAAAGAAAAGAGAGGTCATGGACAGTGAAAAGGTAGTGAAATTAAGGACTTGTAGGCAATGACCAGGTTGAGGGTGGGGTACCAGGAGGAGTGAGCTGGAAAGACAGGAGGTGGTGGTTCAAGACATGGATGCCTAAGCTTGAGGTTGTGGAAGGGGAGGATTTAGTGATGACGACAAGCTCTAGGGTACGACCATGGGAATATATAACTGAGTCAGAGTGGAGACCAAGATAAACAAAGGAGAGGAAGTCAAAAAAATTAGCTACTGTCTCATTCTCTATCTCACAGAGTGAAAATTAATGAGACCAGTCTTGATCAATCATGTGGGGCACCTGAAGGAAAAAGCAATACGTGACTAAAAGTACATTAACTGAAAATTACCTTTATTCCTTCTGTAGTTCTTCCTGGTCCTAAATTACCTTCCAATTAGTTCTATGAGTATATAACTCTTCTATGATAACAGGAGAACTTTGACACAGCTCACCTTTCACTTGAAAGGCAAAGGCAGTTTTCACTGAACCTACTGGTATACATGACCGTTTTTGCAGTCTTCACTAAATTCCATCAGCCTCCCACTAATAAGTTTCTAACTTAGGTGCTAACAGAGAAATATAGAATTGACCCAAATAACTCAATAATTTGAATACAAAAATCATGTACTAATGAAAATACACATTTGGAGCTGGAAGCCCCAGAACCGCAACAAAATTAATTTATTCACAGTGATTTGTTCTTCTTTCACTACCTCAATTTTCAAGTGCTCACAAAGCTTCCTAATGCCACCAATTTCCATCTTTTATATTATACTTAGGAGCTTAATGTTTAGGTGTAATGTTGTGTCCAAAGGCAGCTTCTATTTTTCTGAAGCAGAGTGAATTGAATGATAACTTTTGAAAAAGACCTAATCATTTTACTAGTAAAAGGCTAGACAAGAATCAGTCCTCTAAAGGTGCAAACATGCCCTCTTTACAAATTTATATTTATTCTTCTGTAAACAGACAAATGTGTGCTCATTTAAAACTAATGTAACTGTTTCCAGCTACAGCTGTGGCACAGAGCATGACATTAAAAAACTGCATGTTATTCTAAAGGGTATATTACATCTCATTGAATAATCATTTTTAAAAGCAGATTTGCTGAGCAAATAGCAACCAGCAGGTTTGTGTACCTCAAATATGAAATCAATTTTTAGACAATAGAGTTCAAACAAGAAATGTGTCAACTTTACTTGATCAAGCTAACCAGCATGTGTTTCATTAAAATGGTTGACAAGGGAAACCTCAGAAGCTATTAATAAAGATTGATTAACAAAGGGACTAGGAAAGGAAATAAAACAACAGATGGAATAAAATACCTGGGAATAGGAAGTGAATTTCAAACAGGTTTGACAGGTTAAGTGTCATGGCACAAGAGAATGTTTCAATAAAACACTCTATGAAGTGCTTAGACAAGTTAGTTAACAGATTAATTAACAGTATGTGACAAACAATAGCTTTTCTGGAACTGTCTAAACTAGATTGTTAACAGCTATATTTTAGCCTGACACCCCTGAACTTCTAAAACATTTTAACCTTTAGAGAAAATTTCTCTTGTTCATTACCCTCAGTGATACAACTTCTAACTTTAAAGCCTACTCTGAAATCAAGAAACACTGGCAACACTGGCATAAGGGAGTGAGAATACTTAGCATCCAGCTCACCTTGTCTCTTTATGTGCACACCCTTCCCCTTCCTTCTCCCACCCCCCCCACCACACACACACACACACACACACACACACAGGTTCAGCCCTCCCTGTCCTGTCTGTCCCCCGTTTGGGTTCCTGTCTTTGCTGGCAACCTCAAAAATCAGTCGGAGGAATATAAATTACTCCTGCCTGGTGTAGGTGCCTCTGTGTACAGAGACACAACCTCAGAGGTATCTGGAATCCCCCTCTCCATGTATTTTCCCCCCTTCTCTCTTCTATTTTTCCTTTGTCTTTGTTCTCCAACTCTGCCTAGGAACAGAAATGACACCCAAAAGCCATGCTTAGACCCTTGCTGACCCTCAGAACTAAAGAAATGTTTGGATCCTATTTTGAAACATGGTTGCTAATTAACACATATACTGGGGTAGAAACTTGAGGAAAGAAAACATGAACAAAAGTTTTTTTTCTTCACCAGGCTCCTAATCTACACTGCTGGCTGGACATGTAAGAGCACCATCACTAAAAGCTAACTGACAGAGAACAAGAGTTCAACAGGCTGCTTACTTCCCTTCTTAAACTTGAGAAACTCCTGAAGGTTAGAAACTAGATGAGTTGGCCTAGATTCTTCCACTCTGCAATAATTCCTAATATAAAGAAAGGTAGCTGAGAAATGGACAGTCATGTATTTGTTGTTCTGGGGCATCACTTCATAGTCAAAGAGACCCCACAAAGTTACGTGGAATCTTTGTTTTTTGTTTTATTTATTTATCAAAAAAAAAAATAAAGATTCTGAGTAACTTTGTTTTTACTCGGCACTTTTTTTAACCAGATTGCTCAGACTTCACAGAATACAAATGAGTTAAGAAATTCAGATAAGGGAGAGAACATCATTTTAAAAGCCAACTTTCCCCCCAAATATATTCTAACAGATATGTGATCTATTTTCAAAATATATCCTTTTAGACCCTTTGAATTTTAAAACATGGACATGTATTATATACCTAAAAGAGTACATTAAAAAAAGAAAGTAAACAAACAAACAAAAACACAAAAAAGGACACAACCTTATCTTACAGTTCAATGTGACAAAAAGAGATATGGAATTATTTCCTAGTACTAAATGATCACAGGAAGAAAAATCAATGAGAATCACCACTTGAGCTCCAGAGAGAATTTCCTGCAGTACAGATTCACAGGTGCTAAATCCATCCTGTGCACGCCCTCTAAAATCACTGTGGTATTACTGCCTAGGTATAATACTGCGACCACAGAGTGAAGATTTAAGCGAATTCTTTTTCATCTTGACCTTCCACAGATTTTGTTCCTTCTCTTCCCCACCTCCTTACTATCTTATTTTCTTTTTAAACCACATGGTCCAGTCAAACAACAAAATTGCTTGCTAACCCCAGCACCTAATCTTGCCTTTTGTGTCCTGGAAGCTACTTAAGTCATCAGGAATGTTTTCTTGTCTGTGAGGGTGGTTGGGCAATGTGTTGGTGATACCCATTATCTCAATGACCAGCAGCATTGATTCAGCTGATCTGATCAGCAGATAGTTGCACCCTTCCTCCTTTACCCTGTGTAATTATCAGTCCACTTTGTGTCTGTGTGCTGGATGAGGGGCAGGTAGGAAATACTGAGTGAGGTAGGTTATTCTGAGTAAGTAATGTTGCTGTAATAGGACACGATGCTATATAAGCATTCTCCTGTCTTTTCTTTGGCCTCTTGTACATGTGTCCAATGAACAAGTAAGATTGTAAGCATCTTAAAAACTGTATTCTGGCTTCTAATTCTTTAGTATTTATAACTGCAATTATATTACATCATACATAATATAAGTTATAGTTTATAACTTTAAAGTAGAAGGAAAGAACTTAAAGAATCTCTCCCAGAATTAAGTTGTTTCCATTTGGTTTGGAGAAAAATAATATCCATAGTACGAGTGATAAAAATCCCATGTCAAATTTTCACTGTTCTAAATATTAAGTAAACATTTAGAAACAGTTAACAAAATTTTTTAAAAAGAAAGAGCTCAACAGCAATGTTCTTCATCAACAAATTTGCCAGGCTTGCATAGACTAATAGAGAAATTATTGTAACTTAACTTCCTATAAAATTAACTTCATAGTAGTGAGATAAATCTTTGTACTGATAGTGATAATGTGGTAAAACATACAAACAAACAAACAAACTATGATTTCAATTTATTGTTCTTAACAAATACCCAGAAAGTCTCATTTATTCCCTCTGATTTAAAGTGAATCCTGACATGACCCATTCAGTTGAAAAAGAAACCAAATTACCTGCTAATTTGCTTCTGTCTTCTCCTGCAACAACAACAATCCAGTCCCTTTGGATTGTGATTGCAGTAGCAGTACTGGCCAAATTTGCAATATTTGCAATAGTAATGATCAAGATATAGCAGAAGGTCTAAAAAATTACAGGGAAAAATTGAGTTAAAATGTCGGTTTTACCACACTGCACCCACACCTCACTATGCAATGCATTTTAAAATGGTCTTTGGTGGCATAATAATCAAACTTTGATTTTAATTTCATTTATAAGAAATAATTTTACATATGAAACAATAAATACCAGTGGTCAAGTTAAACGGCATGCTATCTTCTTGATGCATATCATCTATAGTACATATAATATAAAAATTATAATAGTCATAAGCATATTTATGTGACAGGTATCATAAAATGTTAACATAGGGGTAGTTTTTAATACTTCCCCTGCAAATATCTCCTTTAGAAAAAACATTAAAGGGGAAGTGAGAAGACCTGTATTTAAGTAACAGTTCTGACACTTTCTAGTTGCATGACAATGGACTAACATCACTTTGTCTCAGTTTTTTTTCATCAGCGAAATGAAGGGAATAGACTAGAAGATTTCTACTCTCCTAACTGGCTTTGAAACTCCACACCAATCCAAATATACATAAGACTCAATAGTGACATCAAATCCATTGCTTTCTACTCTATCCCATCTCTCTTTTCCATCAGACTCTCATGAAATCATTGTATGAGACGCTATCTAGTCTATGTCCACAAAAAGAAATACCAACTATTACTGGAAGCACACAATCATGACTAATTAATAGAGAGATAGATAGATAGATAGATAGATATACATTTCTTATCTATCTTATACAAATCACAGGTTATATAAGAAATGTATATCTATCTTATACAAATCACAGGTTAATACTAATGAGCTGAAAACCAACAACCGAATTATATAATAAACTCTTAGACGTGCCATTCAAAACAAATAGGGAAAAACCCCAATAGGATAAAATTTAATTTCAAACAATACTTAATGAGTATCTATTATGGGAAAATAAAAACAAAACAGAAAATTTAGGGGCTGTTAAAGTAGACATACAGACCCATATTAAAAGGTTCCATTTGCAAAAAGTTACTGCCTAGCCTCAAACGGCTTTCATCTTTTACCACTATCACATGTTCAATTCTCTGCCATTTAGAATCTCACTGAGAACTTACAAGAGCCCATCCATGGTACATGGTCAGAAGCTCATCTTTATGTAAGAAAACCATCATCAGGATGATCCCACACAGGATGACCGAAACATTCTGTATCACCAGCGAAGTCTGGGCCACTGTACAGAGAGAGAAACAAAGTGTTCACTACACACTATACCAAAGTGTCCCAATGGGGCTGCTTTTATCCACACATCACTGTTCTACTACATTGATGTATATTCAAGTTACTAAAAACAAAACAAAACAAAACAAAACAAAACATTCCTGAAGTAAATCCTGCCTCAACTATTCCTAGGACAACCCAGCATATCACACCTGACGAGTAGAATCTGCAGACATAATAATGGAGTGCTCATCATTTTTTTTCTCTGTTAATTGAAGCCGTTCATAATCACCACATTTTCATTTAGTTTATTCTCATGGAAGTTTACTATCATAAATGGAACTATATTACATAAACAAGATCCATCTCTCAGCTCTTGGTTGCTTAAGCTAGAATAAGAACATGTAGGAGATGATGGAGCAGGTTAAGGAGATCATGGAATCCATAACCGCCTACATGGCAGGCCGAATCTGATAAGATAAGATGGTATGGAGAAATAGGAAAGACATGTAAAAATGTGTCAAGATTAAGCAGCAGTGTTTTTTTGTTTTTTGTTTTGTTTTTGGCACACTGTTTGCCATTGTTATGAAATTCTAAGCTATACCTTTCCTCACAGAAAGGTATATTGCAATTTTCTTGCAATGAGGCACCCATGTAGATAAAGTGCTAGAATAAGGACAGGTAAGTATACAGGTAAGACACCTTGTAGTCTTTTCTGTGCCACTTACTAAGGTAGACAATCTAGGACAGGATACCTAATATTTCTTATGCCCATGACTATAAGGAAGAGGATGCCAGTACACATCTGCCTTCCTTACTTTATAGGGTCATTATATGCTCAAATACTTATTTAAGTACTTTGAAAAACATAGAGTTGTATATATAAGGTATAATTACAGCTTTTGTCTTCAATGACAATAAAGCTCTTCCTGGCTTGGAAAGTCATATCAAAGCCTCAAGATAAAACAAACTGCTTTCTAAAATTAGTTTGAAATAAAATCACAACATGTAACTCATTCATTGATGTATTCATTCATTGCACAAGGAATAAATATCAACTGAATGAGGCTCTTAGCTTTCAGGATCCCACAGAGCAGAGGAAAGACAGACATGTAAACAGACAATTATGAGTATAACAAATAGCATAGGTATTAACAAAGCCTGATGGAAGCACAGCGGAAGAAATGGTTAACTCGGCCTAGAGACATGAGAGAAGGTTTTCATGGAGGGTGACATATGAGTTGATTATGTGGGTTCAGTGGGAGATCGCTAGCCCACCACACTTTCCTTCATCCAGCTCAACATTTTTCCTAACCTATAATTTCAGTGCTCAACAATCATAAAGTTCAAGGACTCTACAAATAATGTTTCTATATTCCTATTTATAATCATGTACATAACTAGGAATTTTTTCTAAGGTACAAAACTTTTTTCCATATGCATTTTGGACTGCTCAGTCTCAAAACAAAAAATGTCCATGTTGACTATTTTACTAATAACATCAAGTCCTAGAATTTGATAATCCAAGTGTTCTCTATCCAGGAGCAATCATCCTATACTGAAAGAAACTAATGATAACCTCAGTCTTTCCCCAACATCTAAGACAAACATGGCCAGGTCTTGGCATTATCAGCTGAGCAATTCAGGAAAATTTTACCCTGAATAATTGTCCACATTGCCCTATCAGTCTGAATAACTGAATTGTTCAATCTCTTTCTCTCTTTTCTATATAAAGCTGATAGATCTCAGTATTAATGCTCTAGAATGAACATTAATACAGTATCATTTCTTTTCCCTCAAAAGTTTGTAATTCAGCTGTCCGTGATCCAGACTCAGGTATTCTCTCCTGAATCTATAGTTCTCAATCCCCTACACCCACCTCTATATGAAACCAGTCACCACAGGGCAGATGTTAACGCTGTCCCAGGAACCTCACACTAAAAACTCCAGTGTAAGTCATGGTTAGAAAGGATCCCAGAGTTACGCAAACTTTCAATGTTTAACATGTTTCCCAGAAAAGTGCTATGGTGTTAATCATTAACATTTGGAATGTATGACTAGCCAAAGATACCAAAAGAAAAATCTATAAGCTCAATCTCCTGGCATCCTAACCTTGTGCAGGAGCCCCAGAACCCTCCCTGTGGGGGTGCTGCCACCAAGCTCCCCATCACTCAAGTGTGGCATGCAGGCCTGCACTGGCTTAGTAACAGTGGTCCCATGAATACAAAGGCACAGCTATAACAATACTCACCTTTAAGTCTGGCATTCTTATCCACCCAATCACCAATGATGGCTCCTAGGACCAGGACAGACCCTGCCACCACCAGCCCATAGACTGCAGTCAAGAGAAGGCTGTTTCCATAGAGCTCAACCAGAAACACAGACACTGCAAAGTGCCACATCCGATCTCCCTTGAATAAGGAGAGAAGAGAAAATGTTTTGCTGAGACAGTTTTAGTTTCTAGCCAGTTATACCTGGGAAGTTGCTTCCTTATCAAAAGGGCACTTTCTGGCTACAGCGTGAGCTTTTTCAAAGCCAACAATTCCACTATGGATTGAATATTTCAGGTGTTCAAACGGTTCATCCTGGCACAATGGAAAATGTTCTTGCCGAATTACTCAGGAAACCCAAAAAAGCATATTAGTGAAACACACAAAGTCCTTTACATTCTAGAAAAAACACATAGTTTTGAGACCCAAGAAGGTATTTGAAGACCAAACCTGTTCCTTTACGTGTCAGGTTTCCACCCAGGCCGAGAAAGCAGTGTGACACTGAATCAGAATGAAACGACAGTACAGTTCACAAACATCAGTATGCCTAGAACGTCAGGAAAATAAAAAGCCAGTTTCCCAAATTATAAAATGATGAGAACGGACTATCTGACTTCTAAAGCTTCTTTTACTTCTAATATTCTAAAATCTATGGTCTTTTCCGCAAGTAAATTTCAAACTCATAAAACAGCAGGGCAATCAGAAAGATGAAATTAATATGGGCAAATTCTGGCACCGCATGAATGAAGATATCAGAAATCAATGCTTTAAGCAAGTAATTATTTTAACATTTTAATACAGATGGGATTTGAAAGAGGACAAAACTATTTATTTCTTCATTCCGGGATATATGTGGAATTTAGAATTCTTTACTGCAAAATATGGAATGACAAATTTTTAAACATCAGGTAAATTAATGTATAAGAAATCTATAATGGACCTTATTATGAGATTGTAGGCTCTTTCTGTGATTTCTGAGGTTAACATAAAACAGGACAACAATGTTCTATTATATCCTCTCCCTGGAAATTAATACAGGAAACGAAATTCCCAGGCTAGATTCCTTATGGATTTGACCCTACGTGGAAGTACTTACACTGCTCGTTCTTTCCAAAGTCTGTCAACATCTTCCTGATACATTTAATGTTATCAGGAGCAAAGTATTATCCTGGTATGTGAAATGATTTTAACATTTTGATAAAGCCAATATAAACAATCTTATGCATTCAAAACTTAAATTGATGCACATGCACAGTTGCAATTGTTTACAACAAATTTCATGTCCACCAGTATTTCTCAAGCTGGGGGTGATTTTACCCTCCAGGGACCACTTGGCAATGTCTGGAGTTGTCCTGGGCTGTCACAACTGGAAGGGGGGGAGGTGCTATAGGCATCTACAATGCACAGGGCAGTCCCCCACAACAAAGAATTATCCAGCCCAAAATGTCAATAGTGCCAAGGTAGGAAAACCTTGGTGAAGAGGGTTATGAATATAATTTAGAACCACAATTCAAAATTAACATATGATTAAGGCCTTGGAGGGTAGGGTGGATATGGTCAAGTAAATTTTAAAACAAACACTGGAAGCCAACAGAAGCATCATGTTTGAAAAAATGATTGTTGCTTGATGGTTTGAAATGTGAGCTCTAGAGCTGTCTGCCCTCTCAACCCTCAGCACAGTGCATGGACCGGAGTAGACGCATAACAAATAACTGTGGAATCAACACAGGAGTGGATAGGTGGGGGATCCCAGCTGTGAACGAGTAAATACAGAATAGGTGGCAAAAAACCTGGACTGATGTATCAACCATATTTTTAGTATATTTGCTCTTTGAATGTTCAAGAAGTTTGAGAATTAATATGTACCATGATTAATATTTCTGAGACAGCAATTTTTTAAAGTTTGCTTTGATCATAAAAAAAAATGTTTCCCTCTGAGTAAGAATTGTTAGCTTCAAATACAATTGTACTGAATAATTAAAAATGTATGATACACATACAATTTGCTTGAAACCAAAAAAAATACAAGTCTATATATTCAGGTAAAGATGTCAATACAAATAGCAAATTAAGCTGTTTCCTTAATCTTTAACATGAGAAGCAAATTTAGATTTGATTAGAATAAAATGGGATGGGTAGAAGGGAGATACTTTATCCTAATCTCCATTCCTCTGAATAGCACCTAAGAAAAAGACAAAAATACATAAATGCCCCAAATGATAGGATGCCTCCAAGAGTGGACTTCCTCTTTCTTAACCTAAAGAGTAGGAAATATTACTTCTATTACTATTGCTTCTTTCTTTTGTGTTGTTTTGTTTTCTCCTATCCTTTTCCCAAAAGAATTACTTTTAGATTCCTCTAGAGCAGGCCCTCAAAACAAGTGTTATTAAATGAAACTTTTCTCTCTTGCTTATCCCCATATGGCACGTCACCTCCTTGATGGAAAGGAGTAAAATTGCTCTAGTTACCCCAGCTTCCAAAGGCCTAAGGTTTTAAGAAGCAATAGACTGCATGCTCACAAAGCCCAAGCCAAGGATCAGGTAACCTCTAAGTAAATGTTGACCAAAGTGCAATCTCAAGTTCACCCATTTCTTCCTTACATCCATTTCCTGCCCTCCCATAAGATCTCACCATACTTTGATGATGTGCTTACATGCCCATCTACACACTGTGGACTGAGAGCTGAAGACCAACTGAACATCTGTGAAGGAACAATCGCAGTCACTTAATACTTATTGAGAGGCTGCTCTGTAGGCATTAGAAATTCAGCAGCGCACAAAAATCAAGGTCCATGCTTTCATGCAGCTTGCATCCCAGTGAGCAAAGACCAAAAACAAATCTATAATAGGTCAAGTGGTATAAATGTTATGAGAAAACATAAAGTCGGGTGGCATTTTCCTGAGGCAGTGACAGAGACCTCTCTGAGCAGGGAGCTGAGGGACGTAAGGGACGGTGTCATGCAGACATCTGGGTATAAATGGAGACAGTCCATAGGACGATGGCATAAGATATAAGCAACTGGCCACCCTTTTTCACTACCTTACACTATTAGTTATCTTTTTTGTTATTAGATACATTTTTGTAAATCCATACTAAACTATATTATAAGCTCCTTAAGGACAACATCCACTTCTTACAGTACTTTGTATTCTGATAGTACAGAGTAAAATGTATTTATTGATCCACTGGTAGATAGAAATGAAATTGGAAATGAAAAACATTCAACCCTACCCAAATCTAACCTCATATAACTTTCTACTCTAACACCTCTATATTCAGTGCATAGGAAACTTCGGTTTGGCAGAGTTGGTAGGGGAATAGATAGCTAGATGTATATGCATACATACGCACACATATTTTATTGTAATAAAATCAGGCAGCGTGTCAAATGGGAGAGAAAACTCAAAAGGTAGAATTATTTAGAGTTAGAGAGCATTCCTCTTTTGTAATCCTTTGCAATGAAAAGAAGTAAAAATCCTCTAAACCTTATATGGTTATAGTTGCTGTTTTTGTTTTTTTTAATCCAACTTTCACACAAGAACTCCCTTTGCTCCATTTACTGTAAGATTGGGATAAGAAAGCATCTGTCATTTTTCTTGTGGGGCTTTTAATTAACATGACAAAAATTCCTCCTGGAAGAAGCACAGTTCCACTCCTTTGCCAAATCTGACCTCCCAAGGAAAGGTCACATAAACCCTAAACTTATCAGTATTTGGAAATGAGACACACTGTTCCCCTAATATATAGGTTCAGACCATAAGAAAAGAATTTCAGATCTTAACCATCATTTGTTATTGGTTTTTTTCTATACTTAATACTTACCAAATTAAGTTGGAAGAACAAACTATTGGTTTAGATTACTGAGGATAGCTTCACTAGGTTTCTCCTTAGAATCATCAGCTATTGGAAATAAAACAAACTCACACCAGTGCTCCTTTGTTTACATGTATTTGCAGTCATCCCTGCCTCAGCCTCTAGGAAGGCAAGAGCTTGCCTTCCTAAAAAGGCCATCTTTGGACTGCTATTTCTTAAAGAGCTGATAACCTAGCTTAATAATTTCCCAAGGGCATGGGGTACAGATTTCCTCATACAACAGACACCATTCATGTCTTAAGGATGTAGAATAAATGTTTTCAATTGAAAAACAAAAAAAACATTCACAAAATTTACTCTCAAAATTCTTTCTCCTTACCCATGGTTCTTTTTAATTAAATATCATATATGAGGCATGAATAGAATATATTCAGGCTTATTGCTTTTAAACAATAAGAACAATTGTTTAATTTTAAAGATTCTAATCATCATTAATTAAATACACATCCAACCTCTTTTGGGATTATTCTTTTTTGAGGGGTTCATGAAAAGAACCTAGGCCCACAGAAACACTGGATCTCTTCCAAGACCAAATAGCAAGTCAAAGGAAGAGCTATGAATCACCTGCTGATTTTCACTGAATGATGATTTTAAGATAGCCTGAGATACCTCACACATACCTACACATAACATTTATAAAGACCAGAATTTTCATCACTTAGATATTTGTTCTTGGGGTCAATTATATTTAAATTAATCTTAGGATGCTATTTTTAGCCTAAGTCAGTCGCTCCACTATTCTACTGTATTTTCACAGTGCAGTATGCTGGAACTTATAAATTTAATGAAAGAAGAAAACAGAGAAATCTCTTAAAATGTGAAATAATAGAAGGTATATAAGACATCCATCTATACTTAGCAGCAGATATCACTATTTACTAAGCCTATTAATGCAAAACACAATTTAAAACAATGCAAATATTCTGGTCCTAGTTAATCCTGTCTTTGGGTACTTGTCCATCTACATTAAGTGGTATAACCCAATGATTAAATAGCATTTCCAAACACCTATGAGAAAATACCTTTGGTGAAAATAGTTGTTTCATTAAAGCATGTGTGTTTGGACGATTTATTTCTTTAGCTGTATGACAAAACTGGAAGATGGTTCAAAATAACTGGCCCAAACGAAAGGAAACAAGAAATTGTGTAAGTATGTTGTAAGAATTACAGTACATTCTCACTTACCCAAGTAGATAAAAAATGACCAAGGTAGAGAAGGAATTTTGCAGAGGTCAGCCAGTCTGCTAAGGACCCTGCAAAGACACACGGGCGGAAGATAAAAAGCATATTTCGTCACTTGAGTGATCTGAGGTTGGAATGCGTATACATTTGCTCCTGTTAAACATGACTATTAAAAACTTCTTTGTGTGACAAACCATGTCCATTTTATCAAGTCAACACTCAAATTCAGCATGACCTATCCACTGGCCAGTAACCGCAAATCTTCAGACACAGTGAAGAAAGCTCTTGTTTCAACATTCTTGAACTCCATTTTTTTAAAAACAAGGCAATCCAAACTTCCCGGTCTACTCCATCCTTGCCTGCGCGCAAGCCCCTCTTCCCACACCCTGAAATTCATTTCTTCCTCAGCTCCCACCAAAATACGAATCAAATGCGCTACGAAGCACTCTGGTTAACAGCTGAGCCGCGTTCCTCCAAAACCTGCGCGAAGCCGCTGGTCTCCACCACCCAACCTGGGTTTCCACCGCTTGGCGTTTGGCCAACTTACCACAGCATCCTCCTCCCTGGCGGTTTTGCTCTCTTGCCTTGGTCATGACACCAGGCGCCCCCCGCTTGCTCTGCTGCTACTGCTGCTGCTCTGGCTGAGGTACTTGTGAAGAGGAGTGCAAGGAACTGAAGAGGGCACCGCTAAAAACACAACAGCCTTGTGCAAAAAGACCCCAACGACTAGTAGAACAAATAAAAGAAAAACGACCCGAGGGTCTTTTTCTTCTTCTTCTTTTGGTCTTCTTTCCAAACTTAGCTAACACTGTAGCTGAAGTTGGAAAGGCAAAGCCTTATGGAAGCAGGTGGGGGGGCTCAACAAGGCCGTCCAAGCCGTGTCGGAGCCCCTGTGCCTCCGCTGGCGCCGCCGCTGCCTCCGGCCGGGCCCAGCCCTTATACCCGCTCGGGGCGGAGCTCCCTCCGGCCGCCCGCTCCGGACCGCCCCCTCCATGTCAGCGCCACCCGGGCGTCCCCGCGGCGCGAGGCCAGGCGTCTGGCGACCCCAGCGCCGAGCCTCCTCCACGCCCTTCCCAGGACTCGCCCGCCCGGGGTTCCCGCGGGCCACTGGCCACAAACAACCTGCGCGGCCTGCGGGGACTTGGTCCCGGCGGACTCCACTCGCCGCGTTTTACCGCGCGCGCTCCGGGAAGGCGCGAGCGGGGGGTCTGGGAAGGGGAGGCCGGTGCCTGCACCCGGCAGGGCCAGCGGGGCCGGCGGGGAGAGGAGCGCAAAGCCCCGCGGCGAGCGCTGGAGGAAAGCGCTTCGCACCGGCCACCTGGCCGTGCTGGGGAGGAGGCGGCCTCCGGACGGTCACTGTGCAAAGCTGCATCCAGCCAGGGCTTGAGGGGGGCGGGGGGGGAGGGGGATCCTTTTTTTTTTAACAAAAATCATTTTTTAATATAGGTATTTACATAAACAGAATCCGTGTCACAGAGGCCGTTTTCCTGGCCTTCCCATTCCGGCCCGCCTGCGGCCCAGAATGTCTTTTCTTCCCAGGACTGCGTAGCGGGGCTTCCCTCAAAGAACCAGAATCAAAGGGCAGGAAGGGACGCAAAGATCAGGAGTCAATGTTGGCTTGGAAAGGTCAAGTCCAGTAGCGAGTTAGAGGCCCACCCCAGCCCAGAATCCGGGTCTCCAAACGCTTCCCGGAGATGCAGCGAGGAGGAAGCAGCCCTTCACCATCCTTCCTCCGCCCCCGGCACCCTCTCGCCCCCGCCCCCACCTGCGCGTCCTTTCCCCTCCTCTCCTCCGAATGCCCCAGGATCTGACAGGCTGTTACCAGGAATACCGGTTATCCCAGTTGTGTCCCTGAGTCTGTCCCTGTCCAGATAAAGCCACTCGGTGGCCTCATGAAGGGGCAGGTGAATGACTAAAGAAAACCAAGCTTAGGCCTTCCCTGGCTTTTCCAACCCCCACCCCTCCACACACACCCCGCCGCGTGCCAATCCCCCCCTCCCCGCCCCCATGCGGGGCACACCAGCCCCTATTACCTTACCCGTTTCAATCTCGCCAAAACCCGGGGAGTGGATCCTACACATTGAAACTCCAACCAGATTCCACCCCCCCGAGTACAAGCCGGACTGACACCAGTAGTGAAGGGAGACACGCATGAATATAAGGCCTGTATCTGAACTCTCCATCAGGAGCCCCACAAGTCAGCGGGCGGGGTGCAGCTGGATTCGGTTGGGACGTGGTCTGGAGAGCAGAGATAGGGGATTTACAGTTTAGCTACTGCTGTTAACTGCTTTTCCTTTTCAAGCCCTCTTTCTTCCTTTCTTTCCACAACACTTTGAAGTCCTCTCCCTTCATTCCTAGAGAGATTTTGGGTTGTCTTCTGAAGTTGGGGAATAGGGTCATGCATCCACACATCCTTGAGAAGGAAACCAAGACACGTTCACAGGAGGGAACTGGAGAGGGAGGGAGCTGATGGGTTAAACCCCTCCACGTTGTGGAGATCTCCTAACTGGAGATGAGTCTCGTTGATGGGACCTCGAGCAAAGCACAAAGGATAACGATATTCGCACATTTGCCACAGCGTCTCTCAACAACAAGGTGCTTTATGTTGATTTTTACATGCCACAAGAGGACTATTGTGAGGTTCCCAACTTCCAGGTACTTTAAAGGAGGTTCGGTTGGTTTTGAAGATTTACTTCTGGTCCACACTGCCTGAGAAGTGTTTGTGGGAATAGTAGCTACTCCGAAATGTGATATGGAAATTCTGTTTTCCACTGTCATCAAGGAGTCCCCAGCAACCAAAACTCAGAGAATGGTGAAAAGAAGAGATAGGAGACTACAGTGAAGCATGTAGAAAAGGTACTTTGGAAAGAATACAAGCAAGATCCATAACATCAAACCCAGTGAGGTGTTTGAGCTTTGGCAGGGGAATCCTAAATCCTTATTAATGGGAACAGTAAAGATATATTAATTAGGGATCATGAAATGGAAAATAATTGAAAATGAAAATGGAATAAAAATCCTCACAATATGTTCAAAATGCAAAATGACAGTAATCTCCTGGCCTTGACATTTGTTGTTACAAAGCACCACTTAAATCACAAGACTATTCCTCCTTCTAGGAATCATTTGAGTGGCTGAAAATTAAGAGTTCTTTCAAAAGTCTTATGTATAATATTTTTTCCAAAAGTCAGAAAACACAACTCTCCTGTCAATGTCATCATAACTAAGAAAGCCATGCAAATTTTAAATCAGTTTACAAGAAATAGATGCCCTAAAATCAATTTTCCAGTTCATTTTCAAAGTTTTTAAGTTTGTCAATAGGCTAACTTTTTTAAAATTACAGCCAGAATAAAATGTATATTCTAGTTTAAAGCTGATGAGTATTTATGCTTGGCAAATAAAAGGGGTTTTATAATTTTAAAGTTGCTTTTTCACTTACCAGTCAAGCATCCTAAGTTTCCTCTGCTTTAGCTGATGTGCTCACCAGGACAAATGCAGAATAAAGAATGGTCACCACTACATTACTCTAAATAAAAGTAATGGGGTTATTATCAACTATTACAGGAGGA